TGGGGCTGCACCCGCCGGAGCTCAGTGCAGGTCCTCGCGCTGCTGCTGGGGCTGCACCCACCAGAGCTCAGTGCAGGTCCTCCCGCTGCTGCTGGTCAGGCAGGTGGCTGAGAGGGAAAAGCCATCCCTGGGCACAAATCTTAATAAATTTCATCTATGTTCCCCCAGAAATTAAAAGGGCATGGCTTCATTGTGTGTAAGTTTGCCACCAAACTTACAGTAACCATTTCGGAGGAATGTGAGGCTGGTAGGAAAAGGGGTGTATCTTTTACAGACTGACTGATCTAACTGGGGGAAAAAACCCAAACCAAACCCAGAGAAAAAAACACCAGAAGAGCTTTGGTCACTCAAACCCTTTTTCAGAACTGAAACAATCAGAGAAGTTCAAGCTACGCCCAGGCTGAGAACAAATGCTCTGAGTTTAACTCAGTTATCCAAATCAATTAGCAATTGATTTTTAAAAAACATTTACAAGAACAGAATTAAAAAGGTCTGATGTTCCAGAGCAAGTTTTGGCAATATAAGGAGCTGTGCTATTTTTTCCTCAGGTTTCTAAAGGGGAAATTTCTAACACAGCATTGAGTGTACTTGCTGGGACAGGAGTCATGCCAGGGAAATTTAGCCGTCCTGAGCATGAGGCTATGGTCTGGACCGAGGACAGCAAGCAGGTGATATTTTTAGCACAGGGGCATGTGGTTCTGATGTGTTTTTACCAACTGCCACAGGCACAGGCAGCTACCGTGTCCCGGGCTCGCTGGAGTGTCTCCTGGGCACACGCTGCTGCTCCTGCTTCAGCATCTGCCGGGGTTTCGGCAGAGCAGGAGACACCCTCGCGGCTGGCTGCAGTCACACGGGTCCCCTGCCATGTTCTCCGCACAGCTGTACAAGGGATGTGCTCAGGGAAAAAAAGATTCATCCCATCTCTGGACAGAAGTTTCCATCCTGGCTGCAGCCACTGGGTCTCGCTCTGCCACCCTCCGTGCAGCCAAAACATTGCCTGTGCTAGCGTCCGCTTCCTTTACCTGAAACCTCAGCTGCGGGGGTGTCTCCCAGCAGCTTCCCAGCCTCGAATATCTGCTTGACTCTTACCTGATCTTTCCTGTTGCTCAGTAAAGAGCACGGCATGCTGTAAGGGGTTTACCCCAGCAGTACTTACAGGAGGGTACGAGGACAAAGCGGGTGTAGAACAGCCCCTCCCTGTGCCGCCCATCGCCACCGCTCAGCTCTGTAAATTGTATTTCAGGTACCTTTGAGTCAAAAGGGCATCTTTGTATTTAGCAGTCGTATAGGGATTTTTTTTTTCTTCCATAAATTTGACCACTTTTTGGACCCATGTATGTTTGAGCATACTGATAACTGAATTGCACAGTGTTGATCACCTCCTTTTAGCTGTCTTTACGCTGTCACCTTCTTCTTTCATTTGATGTCCTTGAACTCCTGTATTCTAAGAACATGTGGGCAACTATAGTCTGTTCCTCTTCATCATATTGTTCAAAATGATATAGATCCCTGGCATTTCTCTCCTTCCTCAGGCTGGGATTCTGTTCAGCTGCGTCCTTCCCTGTGTGGAGGCTGTCACCCAGCCCTCACCCACAAGCACAGGCTTTCCCTGTCCCTCTGCTGACCCCAGTGCATCACTCTGAGACGAAGGAGTACAACTGTGCATGACAGTCAGAGCCTGGTTGTGCTGTGCTTGTGTAAGCGTCACTCTCAGCCGCGTGGATGTGAGATCTACACAAACCCCTCAGGAACCCCAGACTCCTATTTGCCATCACTGGATTATTTACACAGCCCGGGAGGAGGACGTCCCAGCAGCACTGCCCTCCCATCAGCAGGTTTTGTGTTCAGATGGCGTACGTCACAACTTCTGGATGTTTTCCAGACTCATTGCTACCCAGGATGCTGCCCCTGTTTCAAACTGAAGCCCACATTCTTCTTGCCTAGCTGTTGCACCTTATGCTAAGCTGCACCAAACCAGGTTTTCCATGAACCTGGTGTTTCGAGCAGTCTGGATCAGGGTGTCTTGGGCAAGTGCCACCTGTTGCTTTCACCAGCCCAACAATTCATTTTTATCCACCCCAATAATTTTACCAGCAACTGTTTTTTATTTTCTCCCTGATCGTTGATAACATATAGCATCGATATGTGAACAGAATACAGTGAGAAATACATCTGTCAAATGGCTATATGGAATGTCTTCTCAGTTATCCAGTTCTTTCAGATCTGTTCATACCGATCACACTGACCGGAACACACAGCTAACGTTTCTTATTAGAATGCCACACAGAACTAAGGCAAAAGGCTTACAGGACTCTAAGCATGCCACATGTATCTCTGTCAAACTTTTAGGCTTGCAAAAAATTACATAAAATTATTTGAAAGTCCCTCTTTCACATGCCATTAATTTGAATTACATTAATTTGGGTTCTAGCTTTCACTAACGTAGCCAGGACATCCTTTGGCTGTTGGTCTGTGATTGCTTGGGATGTATGTTGAACTAACTGCGCTGTAGTTTCTTGGATATCCATGTGAACATCTTTTAAACAGTGGCAAGACACTGGATTTTTTTCCCCGGTTATCTGAAGTTCCCCAGTGTGTCGTGATTTGTTACAAAGAAAAAAAATCAATGGTTCACTCCTTAGCCAATTAAATACTCTTGGTTGTAAGTTATCCTCCTGTAGATTATTAAAAATTTTAAAGTTTCTCTTTATCATCTTCCTTAATTGCTGATGGAATAGAAAGTATTTCATTACCACTGTGAAATATGAATATGATCCATTGTTGTTTCAAATACAGAGCAGAAATATTTGCTGAGTTCTTGGGTTTCATTATGCAGAACATGTGTTCACACATAGAAACCTGGGGCTGGCACCCAGTGGCTGCAATTCTCTGTATTCTCTGCCGCTGGGGCATCCTGCTCTGGGGTCGATGTTTCAGAGAACCCGAGAAGCTGGAGGGGGTTCAGAGAGGAGCCGTCAGTGCGTTACGGACTGCCAGTGACGCCGGGCAGCTGGAGCTTCGGAGGGGTGCTGGCTGGACACCACGGCTGGTCCTTGAAGTCCCGTGTGCTGCTGTAGGCGCCTGTTCTCCAGTCCTGGATTTCCAGGGCAGGAAGGGTGACAGCACTCTTCCAGGAAGCACCGAGGGCACGTGGGAGCAACGCACCCTGCACTGCTGTGCTGATGCCCGCGGCTGGTCCTTGGCTGCGCCTCGCCCAACTGGCCGGGCGGCAGGCTGCAGAGTCTGTCGGGCATTGCCAGCCCTTCTGAGTGGAGCTTGGAGGTAAAACTACATCCACTATCTGGAAATTGAAGCTGGGCAAACACATATTATGAATGTGACACATTTTTAATAGCAAGGGTAATTAATCTACTTGTTAATTGCATCTTAGAATAGCTTATCATGGTGGATGTAGATTTCTCATCTCTGGCTTTTTAAAAAAATCACCAGAAGGTCTGCCCTAGCCCAGACCAGAATTCATCTGCATGGTGCTTAGCAATCAGAGTCCTTAATTACAGATCTGTGAGCCACAGTCTTGTCACTCTTCCACGCTGGGTTTTCCTCTCTTTAAGTTACAGTCTTTCCCAGGAAATCCTGAGTTGGGACAGGTCCTTGGAAATCACCTTTTGCTGCTCTGGGATCTTGTCAGCAGCAAGGTCACGCGCCTGGGAATGCTCTCTCTGCTGTTCAGGAGGATCCTGGGTTCTTGTTGCTCCACCCAGGGCTGGTTCCGAAATCCGCTCCCCAGGCGTGAGAGGGTGTCCCATGCTGCTGCAGGCAGGTTTGCTGTGGGAAGCTGAACACAGAATCCCACGGGGCAACTCGACAGCGGGTGAAAGCCCGTGAGGCTGTATTTGCGAAGGGCAGCTGGAACCACCCGGGAGCTCCTGGCATCCCGGCTGCCGCTGGGACAGGACTTGTGTACGAGTGTTACCCAGCAGCTGAGCATGCCCGCAGAGCCCCATGGCTCCAGCCAGGTTCCTTTCCTTTAGACCAGTTCACGGGCACAGTCCAGCAGCAGAGTCGGTGCCTGGTAGAGCCCAGCCTCTGTCAGCACGGCATCACAGCCACGGCCAGCCCGCTCTCTGGACTTTCCAGACTTTGAGTAAATAATTTTGCA